TTACAGCAATACTCGGCAGAACGGTTGTATTGGGCACACTACAGAGAGCACTCATTAGGCCAATACTTAGTGGAACCATGGAGGAAAGGCTGCTACTGACACTCCAGACCTGTAGAGTTACCCGTGTACAATGGTAGCCTGGGACAGCCACAGGCACCTGACTCCAACCCATGAGTATTGTTGCATGGGCTGCACCCAGCAAAGATACCGGGGTGGGATTTTCTGAAACCTTGGGTACTCACCTCTTGCTCCATTATGTCTGGAAGTTAGGGAATAAAGACAAAGAAGATTGCAGTAACAATACTTTTAGTCTCACCCATATGTGATTTAGATATTTAAATGAGACTTTGGACTTAGACTTCAAAGTTGTTGGTAGAGTGAATTAAGACATTGGGGGGCTACCTGGATGAAGTGAATGTATTTTTAATATGATAAAGACAGGACTTTTTGAGATCTAGAGGTAGAATTATGTGGTTGGATTGATGATGTCCCATTCAAATTCATGTTAAAACTTAATTCCCAATGCAACAGTATTAAAAGGTGTGGCATTTGGGAGGTGATTGAGTCATAAAGGTTTTGCCTCCCCAAAAGAATTAGCATCCTTATAAAAGATCTTGAAGTTGAAGGTATAATTCTTTTGTCTTTTGATCTCTTTCACCAGGTGAGGACATCTAGATGGAACCATCTAAGAGGAATCAGCCTTCACTGGACACAGAATCTAAAAGTGCACAGACCTAGCACTTCCCAGCCTCCAGAACTGAGAGAATTAAATTTCTGTTGTTTATAAATTATTCAGTGTCAGGCATTTTGTTATAATAGCACAAATGGACTAAGACAACATGCTAGTACAGGACGTAGCAGAAAACATGCAGCATGGTGATACTAGAGAACTAAGGAGACAAAACATCTTGGTAAACCTATGTCAGCTGGCTTCTGTCACTGTGCATTCTAGTACTGGCATGATGAACACATGAAGAAAGTGGCCATGGTGACAGTGATGGGGGTTATTTATGATCCTAATAACATAGGCTTCCACTTATGAAATCTAATTTAGCCACTGCTACTGAAAAATGTCTAAAAGAAATAGACACCAATAAAGGACAACTTTTTTAAGAGAATAAATGGCCATCTTAAAGCAAGTTAACTACATTGGGCCTTTCCATTTTATCAATAGAAGAGTCAGTGACTTCTGACACAAATATACACATATTTTGACCTTCCTGCCTATTGGGTCTTATCCAGTACTACCATTTAAAGATGTGTGGAGCATGGGGTGTGGCACAGGGTGATGCTATGACAGACAAGGAGAAGAAGAAGGAGAGAATCATCTGCAGATCATGCATCTGCAGATCATGATCATCAAAAGACAAACATTTTTGTCATACAATGTACCTGTCTAAGTACATCGACAAGACTATCTGTGAGAAGTTCCAGGGCGGCTGCAAAGCCAGTGGAATCCTGAAGGGCTTTGATACTCTTCTCAACCTTGTGCTCAACAGAACCATCGAGTACATGTGAGACCCTGATGACCAGTACAAGTTCACAGAGGACACGCGGCAGCTGAGGCTAGTGGTGTGCTGGGGCACTTTGGTGGTGCTCATCTGCCAACAGGAGGCTTGGAGGCCATCCTCAACCCCTTCGTGCAGCAGTAGGAGGTCTAGCCATGCCCATACCTGGCCACACCCCCACCCCATCTGTTTTCTCAATAAAATTGCAAACCTCAAAACAAAACAAAACAAAAAGGTGTGTGGAGCATGAAACCTCACATAACATTACATAAAGTATTGGAGCCATTTCACTGCAAAGTGAGCCTATGACCATGAGATTCACTGATCAAAAATCATATGCACTTAGAAGCTTTTTTCAGAAAAGAACATTGGAAATGCCTGATGAAGTTTTATCTGAAGCATCAGCTCACAGGTGATATTTTATAAGAAAAAATTGTTTCATCTAAGGCACACCATACTAACTTTAATAAAAAACCCGTTACATACAATGGCATGCCCTCAAAATGATGAATTCATACATCAGGCAAGCAACTAATGAAAACAGAAGTGATTACACTCATATTACTCTCAATGAACAACTGGGAAGTTTCCTGTCCCTACAATTCTGGGCTCTGTAGCATCTGCAGATAATGATCATCAAAAGACAAACACTTTTGTCATACAATTCAGAAAGAGTCTCAGTTGCACTGTAAACTATAGCTACTACCTGGACACTTCAGAATCCTATGTTCAGAAAGGAGCAGGCAAGAAAATTTTTATCTGTTATGGACATCCAATAGACATAGGATACAGTTTCATTAAAAATCTGGTTTAAATGTCAAGGAAGGTAGTGCCGTACATACACCAAGAGACTATTAAAGCTTTATTATTTACATAGAAAGGTTATTTCAGAAGTATGAGATAGACTTTCTAAAATTATTTTTAAAAAATGACTTGAGAAAGCAGGGAAAGGAAACAGGCTAGGGGCTTTATGGTTGTTAGCGGGTAGGATCAGTGTGAAGGTGTCTTCGTGTAGGTAGAGCTCTGTATGGTTTGAACTTCCAGCCTGCACCTAAGAAGGGAACACACTGACTTTCTGATTAGCTTTGATTAGCTTTCCCAGATGTGGGGAGCAAGGGAAAG